AGTGGTGCGGCAGAGCAGGTGAGTGGTGCGGCAGAGCAGGTGAGTGGTGCGGCAGAGCAGGTGAGTGGTGCGGCAGAGCAGGTGAGTGGTGCGGCAGAGCAGGTGAGTGGGCGGCGGCAGAGCAGTGGTGCGTGCAGCGGCAGAGCAGGTGAGTGGTGCGGCAGAGCAGGTGAGTGTGCGGCAGAGCAGGTGAGTGGTGCGGCAGAGCAGGTGAGTGGTGCGGGCCAGAGCAGGTGAGTGGTGCGGCAGAGCAGGTGAGTGGTGCGGCAGAGCAGGTGAGTGGTGCGGCAGAGCAGGTGAGTGGTGCGGCAGAGCAGGTGAGTGGTGCGGGCAGAGCAGGTGAGTGGTGCGGCAGAGGCAGGTGAGTGTGCGGCAGAGCAGTTGAGTGGTGCAGCAGAGCAGGGCACGGGGTGTGTGGGTGCTGGACTCGCTGCTGATAGCCTGGTGCTGGTGGTGGGGCGTGACGCCAGTAGCCCTGCTGTAGAGCACATGGTGAGGTGACAGGGCATGGGGCGTGCCAGTGTGGTGGTCGAGGTGTGCCAGTAAAGAAAAATCTCCTACACCAACGAAGCAACACAACGAAGGTGTAGACGACAAGCACGTCAGGTAAAAACAGTCAAGATGGCTGAGGCTTACAACAAGAAGGGATGCGACGACGAGTATGATATGAAAGAAGAGTGCACCAGAGCAGTAAGAAAACACCTTTAGATAAGATTTGAATGGAAACGGAGCCTTGAGGTGGATAAAACAAAAGACCAGGCGGGCATTGAACCCCACTAATCTTCTATGATTAGAGGTTTGTGCTACTGGTCCTGCGAAGACATCGTTTAGGTAAATTATATCGTTTGTTGTGAAAATCAGACATTGAGCGTTTACCTCGTTTGATCGGTAGCCATGGCCATACAATCGCACATGGGTCGCGGAAAGCGCGAGGCGGAGGGCAATCGGAGCGGTAATGGAGGTCGGGGGAAATCGAAGCGGCACAAGTCGCGATACCTGAACGCTGTGAGCCTTTAAACTTATGTCGTGACGCATTAGTCAACATAAACCGCCGGCAGGCGTGTACCAATGTTTTTCTTGGCTGACAGACGAATAACGACGATAATCAGCGACAATTCTGCAGGCGCGTTCAGTCGCGTTTCGGTCGCGAGTCGCAGCAGCATCCGTTGCGCGTCGCCGCTGCTATGAAGCATCATGGAGGACGCAGAGCCGCTGCGCGCGCTCTCCGCCCACATCGCGTAAAAACGGACCAGGCGGGTATCGCCCTTAGATAGTTTCCCGCAGCTTTCCGCTCTATCGCCGCGTTCCTTCTGTCCCTAGTCCCTCCCCGCGCTGCGCGCGCTCTCCGTCCACAGCGCGTGACGCGGACCGTACTTGTCTCCCGCCGAGTAGCCATGGAGGACGCAGAGGCGCGCCGCTCTCGCCTGCGCAGCATGCGCGAGTCCGCGGCGAAGCAGCAGGCGGCGTCCCCCGGCGCGCCCACGCCTTCCGCCGCCCTCTCCGCACTCCCCTCCCCCGACTTCTCTCCGCCGCTTATCCGTACGCATCCGCGCGTGCGCCATCCGGGGAAGGCGGACCTGGGGGAGGTAGATATGCTAGACGGCCAGCAGGAGCAGCCACCACAGGCTCGGGGAATTTCTCACAGGCCTCATGTAAATATCTTCAAAGCTCTAGCGTGTTTGTCTTAAAGCCCTATCATTCTCAGCTTCCGAGGTACTTGATCTACCCTACTCCCCAGCACCACGAGTGTCAAGTGCTGCCGTTTATGACTCCCAAGTCATCTCTCCATCATTTCTCCCAAGTCATTTCTCCAGCATTTCCCTCGCAGCATCCGGACTCAAGCAGACGCCATCAGTGCATGTGACATGCTGCGCGCTGCAGGGCCCAGGAAGGTATGCGAGGCTACAGGGAGGAAGAACAGTGGGTAGGTAGGTGAGGGGGACTTTCTGGAATCTCAATACTGTTTCGAACAAACGTGTGGCGGTGGATTAGCCTGCTGCTTGATGCTGCGGGTCCCAGAAACGTATTCTGCACGGCTAGGGCCTAGAGGGGACGAAGAACTGTGGGGCAAGAACTTTCGGGAAACTCAAATTGTCTCAAGTGTTTTGAATGTAAGTATGATGGTGAAGTGCATGCTCTAGGGCCCATAAAGGTATCACATTGCGTGGGGTTCAGGTCATCTAAACCTCATGGGGGGGTGGGGGTGGGATGGGGGGGGAGAGAGGAGCAGGGGGAGTGGGGGGACGGGAGGGGGAGAGAGAAGGGCACACCTGCTGAGGACGGCATGGTGGGCGGGCTGACGTCATGGTTTGCTTGCTTGCTGGCGCTCTGGCGCTGCTGCGAGAGGGGAAGGATAATCCTCGAGTTTCCCTGCTGAATTGATTTACCAGCAAGCAACAGCTCCTCGTAATTCATCAGGTGAGGCACGAGGAGTGGAGGGAGTGTACTTGCTTTGCTTTGAGGAGGAAGGGAGGGTGAAGAGACACCTCTTTCAACTCCACTCAACCGCTGTCACGTAACCCACGACACTCCCATCAGGTGGAGATCACGAGCATGGAGGTGGTGGTGGTGGAGGGGAGATGTCCCATGAAGCATCGCCGCCTCTCTTAAGCCCGCTCAACCCCTGTCAACTGCTTTCAACCCCCCCAAAATATTGTAAACACCCCAAAACACTCCCGTAATGTGGTGATCACGAGCATGGAGGTGGATGGATGGCCGGTTGCTGGGGTGGAGTGGTCCTTGCCGCAACACCCCTCTTAAACCTGCTCAAACCCCTTCAACCACTTTCAACTGCTATCAACCAACCCCTTTCAACTGTTTTCAACCACTCCCATCAGGTGGTGATCACGAGCATGGAGGTGGATGGCCAGTTGCTGGTGGTGGGTAGCGACGCCAGCAGCCCTGCTGTAGAGCAGGTGGGTGCAGCAGAGCAGGTGAGTGGTGCAGCAGGGCAGGTGAGTGGTGCAGCAGAGCAGGTGAGTGGTGCAGCAGAGCAGGTGAGTGGTGCAGCAGAGCAGGTGAGTGGTGCAGCAGAGCAGGTGAGTGGTGCAGCAGAGCAGGTGAGTGGTGCAGCAGAGCAGGTGAGTGGTGCAGCAGAGCATGTGAGTGGTGCAGCAGAGCAGGTGAGTGGTGCAGCAGAGCAGGTGAGTGGTGCAGCAGAGCAGGTGAGTGGTGCAGCAGAGCAGGTGAGTGGTGCAGCAGAGCAGGTGAGTGGTGCGCAGAGCAGGTGAGTGGTGCAGCAGAGCAGGTGAGTGGTGCAGCAGAGCAGGTGAGTGGTGCAGCAGAGCAGGTGAGTGGTGCAGCAGAGCAGGTGAGTGGTGCAGCAGAGCAGGTGAGTGGTGCAGCAGAGCAGGTGAGTGGTGCAGCAGAGCAGGTGAGTGGTGCAGCAGAGCAGGTGAGTGGTGCAGCAGAGCAGGTGAGTGGTGCAGCAGAGCAGGGCACGGGGTGTGTGGGTGCTGGACTCGCTGCTGATAGCCTCGTCACAAAAATCATATGACCAGAAACCTATTGTAAAAAGTTGTGGTGAAGTATTTTCAAATGCTTTTAAAACGTAGGGGCCAAAACGCTTTTCGGTGAAAGTATAAACATTTTTTCGAATGCTTTGTCGAATGCTTTGCAGGTGATGACATGTTTGTATTACCTTCAGATTAGGGTCTGTCTGAGTTTCTTCGGAGATGTATAAGACTTCGTTCGGAGAGTTCAGGGAGATTACTTTCCACTCATATACTCTTTAGCAGAGCTTAGGACCAAAGTTCAAGAAGATTGTATATGAACCTTTATCAAGTGATTCTCGTTGTTTGATGGAAGGTCTATTAGCCATTCTTAGGTGTACACGCACATCATGAATGCATTGCTCAATGATTATTAATCTCATTACAGAGTTGGGCTTGGCACACAAAACAGCTGCCTAAACACGCGTTGCGTAGTCCTGCTAGGGTGGATTAATCTGCACCATCCTCCTACCTACTTCGCAAGCCATCATCGGATGCAGCCCCGCCCCATCTCTCCAGCTCTTGGCCTAGAGAGTTCTTGACTACAGATACTGCTCCATCTAATGCTAACCTGCACGGCTACACACTTCCTGTCTCCTCTCTTGCTTATACTCCTGTCCCCTTGCTGTCTCCACGCTGCTGCCCCCTATGCGGTCTCCTCTCATGCCTGCTCCTGCTGCTCCACATTGGGCCTCTCCTGGAACTCCCCTCTTACCTCCCGGCCTCCCCCCCCCTGATGCTACTCATGCTGCCTCCACTGCTCCTCCACTACTGCCTCACATGCTGCCTCCACTGCTCCTCCGCCACCCAGGCAACCTGCAAAACGGTCGCATATTAAATATGCACTCCTCCCCTACTGCCACGGGATGTTGCCTCCCCCCTGCTGCCATTCAATGTTGCCTCCCAAGCTGCCTCCCTTTGTTGTCTCCCCTGCTGCCATTCTAGTTGCCTCCCATGCTGCCTCTCTCTGTTGCCTACCCTGCTGCTGTTCAATGTTGCCTCCCCTACCGCCTCCCTTTGTTGCCTCCCCTGCCCCTTTGTTGCCTCCCCTGCTGCCATTCTATGTTGCCTCCCATGCTGCCTCTCTCTGTTGTCTCGCCTGCTGCCATTCTATGTTGCCTCCCCTACTCCCTCTCTCTGTTGCCTACCCTGCTGCTATTTAATGTTGCCTCCCCTGCTGCCTCCCTTTGTTGCCTCCCCTGCTGCCATTCTATGTTGCCTCCCGTGGTGCCTTTCTCTGTTGCCTCCCCTGCTGTCATTCTATGTTGCCTTCCCTGCTCCCTCTCCCTGTTGCCTCCCGTGGTGCCTTTCTATGTTGCCTCCCCTGCTGCCTTTCCTTGTTGACTCTCGGCTTCTTACCCTTGTTGCCTATCCTGATGCCTTTCCTTTATCCATACCCGTTAAACGCCCCTGCTCTCCCCGTTAACCGATACCCTCCTGCCTCACCCGATGCCTCTCCAACTTCCTCCACTGCCACCCGTCCTGCTTGCCCCCTTGTCTGCCTGCACATCACTTTCCCCTCCTGCCACCCATGTTTTTGCCTCTCTTGTGCCTTCTGCTCCCTCTCAACTCCTTCCCCCCCTGCTCATCATCCTCCTCTTCCTCTTCCTCCTCTTCATCCTCCTCCTCATCCTCCTCATCCTCATCCTCCTCCTCCTCTTCCTCCTCTTCCTCCTCTTGCTCCTCCTCCTCTTGCTCCTCCTCCTCCTCCTCCTTCTCATTGAAATCCTCTTGCTCCTCCTCCTCCTCCTCCTCCTCCTCCTCCTCCTCGTTATCAGCCTGAGCCGTCCCCCGGAACGCCTGAAACCCGGACTCATGTACATAGAGCCCACGCGTGCCCCACTTGAAGCCCTGCAACTCTGCGTTGTACACGGGGGTGTGGCGTGTAAAGTGATCCCTTACAATCCTCCGCACCCCCCGAGTCAAACTCCTCATCCATCTAGTGTTTTTCTTGTGGGAGTTCGGCAGGTTCATGTCGGTCTCCTTGAAGCGCGCCAAGCCTTGATCAATCTGAAACGGGTTTGGATTACAGGGACCAGCAGCAAGGCAGAGTTGCATGTTACCGGTGTTAGCCCCCAAGGGTCCCAAGTCGTTCACGTGCAATAGAAAAGATTGAGCATTAGGGCAAGTACATGTGATTTACAAAACCAGTCTCACCACCATGAGTGACCAGGCTATGTGGTACGTCTTTAGGGCCAGCCTGCGCCCAACAGCGTAATCCCGAAATGATGCCTTCACCGCATCCACAAACCGGGCGTTGGCAAAAGGGAGCCCGGATCTGTCGTTCCCCCACGAGCTGACCCGCTCATTCCCTCCTACAAGGAGGCACAACCATGTGGGGAAGCACGGGGTATGTTTTATCATCAAGTAGTGGGGCAGGCAGTGTTTGGAGGTATGTTTGGGCATCGTAAGAAGGGGCAGGCCGGGCAGAGGGGTTTGGGTGAGGATCCTGTGGTGGGGCAGGCAGGGCAGAGGGGTTCGGGTTTAGGATCCTGAGGTGGGGCAGGCAGGGCAGAGGGGTTTGGGTGAGGATCCTGAGGTGGGGCAGGCAGGGCAGAGGGGTTTGGGTTTAGGGTCCTGAGGTGGGGCAGGCAGGGCAGAGGGGTTTGGGTGAGGATCCTGAGGTGGGGCAGGCAGGGCAGAGGGGTTTGGGTTTAGGATCCTGAGGTGGGGGCAGGCAGGGCAGATGGGTTTGGGTGAGGATCCTGAGGTGGGGCAGGCAGGGCAGAGGGGTTTGGGTTTAGGATCCTGAGGTGGGGCAGGCAGGGCAGAGGGGTTTGTGTTTAGGATCCTGAGGTGGGGCAGGCAGGGCAGAGGGGTTTGGGTGAGGATCCTGAGGTGGGGCAGGCAGGGCAGAGGGGTTTGGGTTTAGGATCCTGAGGTGGGGCAGGCAGGGCAGAGGGGCTAGGGGTTAGCGTCCAAGTAGTGGGGCAGGCAGGACAGAGGGGTTTGGGTGAGGATCCTGAGGTGGGGCAGGCAGGGCAGAGGGGTTTGGGTTTAGGGTCCTGAGGTGGGGCAGGCAGGGCAGAGGGGTTTGGGTGAGGATCCTGAGGTGGGGCAGGCAGGGCAGAGGGGTTTGGGTTTAGGATCCTGAGGTGGGGCAGGCAGGGCAGAGGGGTTTGGGTTTAGGATCCTGAGGTGGGGCAGGCAGGGCAGAGGGGTTTGGGTGAGGATCCTGAGGTGGGGCAGGCAGGGCAGAGGGGTTTGAGTGAGGATCCTGAGGTGGGGCAGGCAGGGCAGAGGGGTTTGAGTGAGGATCCTGAGGTGGGGCAGGCAGGGCAGAGGGGTTGGGGTTTAGGATCCTGAGGTGGGGCAGGCAGGGCAGAGGGGTTTGGGTGAGGATCCTGAGGTGGGGCAGGCAGGGCAGAGGGGTTTGGGTGAGGATCCTGAGGTGGGGCAGGCAGGGCAGAGGGGTTTGGGTTTAGGATCCTGAGGTGGGGCAGGCAGGGCAGAGGGGTTTGAGTGAGGATCCTGAGGTGGGGCAGGCAGGGCAGAGGGGTTTGGGTGAGGATCCTGAGGTGGGGCAGGCAGGGCAGAAGAGTTTGGGTTTACGATCCTGAGGTGGGGCAGGCAGGGCAGAGGGGTTTGGGCGAGGAACCTGCGGTGGGGAATGCAGGGCAGACGGGTTTGTGACCATGACATGATGGGGCCAGGTTTAGGAAATAAAAGTGCTATCTGAAAAGACAAAGGGAATGAGCAACGCGACGAAACCAACGTAGTTGCAGCGGGATAGCTGATTGTCAAGACTCACTCGGTTTGTATTTTCGCCACAACCTCCACTTCCTCTTCGTGCTCAGCTTGATCTGCGATGCACGCAGTCCCTCCACCTTCACTCCAAACTTCTCGAGCACACCGCGCTTGACTTGAAATCCCCGTTCATTCTTCCATGCTGTCCACACACGTTTAAAGACGGCAACGACGTTCTGATCCTTCATTGTCTCTTTCAGCTGCATGTAAGAAATGATGTGGGTCTCACTGATGACGCCATACAGAACCTGTAGTCGCTGGTCAAATGATGGGTACCAGTCAACCGCATGGTCCGGCGCTTCCATGCACATCCGGTCCCGCGCCTCAACAAAATGAAGCTACAATGGACGGGATGGTAGGGCAAGAAGAAATCAGTGGCGAGGGGCAAGCATATCAAATGTGGGGCAGGCAGAGGGGGTTATAATTAAAAACCATGACAATGTGGGGCTGGCAAGGGGGTTACGAATGAGCAAGAACAGACGTAGTGCAGGCAGAGGGGGTTTGGAACGACATGCTGGACAATGTGGGGCTAGCAAGGGGGGTTAACATGAGCATGAATAGCAAGATGCTAGCAGGGGGTTACGAATGAGCATGAAAGCAACGCAGAGTGCCCCTCACACTCACCCTCAGTTTCTCGAGAGTGGGCATTCCATGCCTGCGCCGAATGGGCTGGCCCTCTGTCGGGGTGCTCTCATCAGCTACCTCGGGACTGAGGCCCCCAGATGATGGGTCGCTCGCCAAAGGTGCCAGAGGAGGAACTTGGGAAGGGGGTCCGCGGTTTTTGACGCCATTGCAAGCTGGTTTTGCCTTGAGGGTTGCTAGTTCGCTGTTTGCTAGCTCAAGCTCTCGCGTGAGCTGCTCCACCGTCTTGGGGCGAGCCGGATTGAGACGACCAGATGCACCGGGCGTGCACATGCTCTCACCCCTCCCCTCGTTCGTGTGTGGATCCCTTTTCCAGGTGTAGTCGTCGCCCCTTTCGTCACGTTCATCGTACGGAGAGCCAGCCATAACTCCGCCACAATCACCCAATGTGTTTGCCCACATCCCACCTGCCACACCGTCGTTTGCTGCTGCGGCCGTTGGGTCAGCGTACCGTTTGGGCTTAAAGTCGTCTTTATCAAGATCCGGTGAATCCCGTGTCTCGAGACGCTTCGCAAGTGGGTCTTTTCCCTCCTTGTTATGACGCCATGACCCTGTAGGCAACGGGTCTGCTCCTTTCCCAGCATTTAGTGATGGCCCTCTGAGAGCAGCATAAGGGTCCTCGCGATCGTCACGCCTCCTTCGGGTCTGGTCTTTACGATCAAGATATCCAGTAGGAGCAGCAGTTGCTTTCACTCCCATCTCCGCATAGAATTCAGGCTCGGGCTTCACTTTGGGGCGCACACGGACAACCTGGGAAACCACACGCCGGCGACCGTTGTTGCCATGCGATTTCCCACGACTGTCGCGCCCCTTACGGCCCTTGTCCCGACCCTTGTCACGGTTCCTCTTAGGAATGCCCTTCTTGGCCTTCCGATCACGCCCCTTTCTCTTGGGACGCACCTCATCCGCCTCCTCGCTTTCCGGCTCCAGATCTTGGTCCTCACTCCTCCTCCTCCTCCTCCTCCTCCTCCTCCTCGTCCCCATATTCGCTGCCAGATGAACTACCAGATTCCCCGTCGCTGGATCCCTCCTCGGAACCGGACGACGATCTGGGTGAAGCGTACCGTTTCCGTCCCTGGCGAGCCTTCCTCATTTTTCTGTCGTGACCGCCCGTGTCAACCACCTTGCGCCGCTTGTACGTGACTTCAGCCCCTCGTCCCTTACGCCCCCCATCACTGTCGCCCTTAGTGCTTACAGCCCCTCGTCCCTTACGCTCCCTATCACTGTCGCCCTTAGTGCTTACAGCCCCTCGTCCCTTACGCTCCCCATCACTGTCGCCCTTAGTGCTTACAGCCCCTCGTCCCTTACGCTCCCCATCACTGTCGCCCTTAGCGCCTACAGCCCCTCGTCCCTTACGCTCCCCATCACTGTCGCCCTTAGCGCCTACAGCCCCTCGTCCCTTGCGCTCCCCATCACTGTCGCCCTTATCGCCTACAGCCCCTCGTCCCTTACGCTCCCCATCACTGTCGCCCTTAGCGCCTACAGCCCCTCGTCCCTTACGCTCCCCATCACTGTCGCCCTTAGCGCCTACAGCCCCTCGTCCCTTGCGCTCCCCATCACTGTCGCCCTTAGCGCCTACAGCCCCTCGTCCCTTGCGCTCCCCATCACTGTCGCCCTTAGCGCCTACAGCCCCTCGTCCCTTACCCTCCCCGTCTTTGGCAGGCCCAGAATGTAGCACGTCGTCGCCACCGGCCAATGCCACCTTATCCTGACGATGGAAAGAACTGCCCCTCTCCACCGCACTCCTCCCCTTCCTGCGCTTTGCTCTCGGACGGCAGTGACCCTTCTCTTCTGACCCGGCTGTGAAAAGCATAAAAAGAGAAAAATGAGTAGTCACATGTGACGTAAGCGGGATACGCGGTAACAACCTATAGGCATCCCAGAAATTACGCAAGGAGCCATATAATTGCTGGTGGGATCCGGTGAACACGTACCTTTCTGGCCTATTTGGGGTTGCATTCTTCCAACTTCTTGATACGCCGTTCCCTCCGTTTCGGGGGCGATGAAATAGCCTTGTTTGCGTATGACTCCACATCGCCGTCACGGCTGGAGTCGTTTTCAGATGAAGAATCGCCCCCTGATTTGCTGTCGTTGCAAGCTTTGGACGGATGTCTCCCACGATACTCGTTGACGACTTGGGCCGTTTTCTCTGGTGTGACTACCTCCATATATCTCTTCTCATCTGGCGATTTGGTAGAACTAGGCAACTCAACAACCCCTACTTGCGCATTAAGGGTTTGAGCTTGAACTGTTGGATCTAGGTTCACACCCATGACGGGCGTGTTACGGAAGTTAGGAATTAGATAGTGACTTGACTCACCAGCGGATACTAGCATTAAATGTCAGTTGGTTGCTGAGGTCCGAGTACCAGACACGGTGGTGGAGCAGGTGTACGTGATCCAACCACCACGTACGAGCAGCACCAGGCTGATGAGGGTTTGAACATGCGGTTTAGAGAAGCACGATGGTCCTTCGACATCCACCGCCTCTCCAGAGCACAGGTACATGGGCTGTTACTGTAGATGGGAAGAAGCTAGACGGTCACGGTCACAGGTAATGACGCTTTGGCCAGGTTTCCAGAAACTGCACTCGTGTTCGCGCCACTGACTGTATGGTCCGTTGGATACCTACGGCGCGCTGCTGATTGTTTTGCCGCTAAGTGCGAAAGGGACGGCCTATGATAAATAAACCAGCGGCAACGAGTGAGAGTTTGAACTGCCCGACTCCCTCGTGTTGCTGAATTACAGGCAACGCGACAGGTGCCGCACGTATATTATCACAATAGTCACGTACCATGCCCGATGAGCAGCTGCGACTACTCAGCGAACTACACGAGAGAGGGAAGGTGGGCTCGTGGTCGCACAACGTCGTGCAGCCACGTACAACAGGTTGACACAGCGTGATTGTGCAAGGGAACACCTGAAATCGCGGCGACGTGAGTCGCCGCACAGCGATTGCGACACGGTCGCAACGGCTCAGTGGTGTGATGAGCGCAGGTGTCGTAGGCGTGGGGTGTGAGGCGCATCCGAATTTCCAGCGCGTATAAACGCCTAGTCTCGCTATGCTACAGTATTGGCATGTACTACCCTGTTCGAAATTGGGTGTATAATCGTCATGGAAATCCGCTCAATTGGTTCATAGAGTCCAGTCCTGCCTTTATATTCCATGGGGACACACTGGTTTTTAACTGTAAGGAAATTCCCTTTTCCTTACTTCGCGTCCCTGCTCAACGCGTACATCACTGTAGCACCTCAGTCAGCACCGTTACCACTCGCGACCATCGCATCATTCATCATCCCGCCCTTTTCGCACATCGCATCCCGACCTCACGGCTCGGCTGGTAACCCGCGCTCCGGGCCTACGCTTCGACACTTTCCCAACCTCAGTCCCAGGCTCGTCGCGCGACAACCACAGTCCAGTACCGTTACCACTATTGTTTCGCTATATAATCCTTCGCTCATGCCTTCGCTCATTGTACTCTTGCTTCGATAGTGCAATTCTTGTTCGTTCACTCAATTGCACACGTAACATTAACAAATAACCAACACAAATAAGTAGGATGCACACAGTGATGTCGTTAATCGATTAAAATCTCTGCTCTATGCACCGTAGCTTAAATTTTGAACAGCCAAGCAATCCTGTCAAATTCACCGTTACAGTTTACTATGGGTTGTGATTATCTTCATGTATAGACGTGTGATTTTCATTACTGAAGAATAGCATGAAGACACGTGGTAACATGCAGCTGAGACAGTTGTTGATCTCCCTGGCAAAACAGCACATGCAAGCCAGTTGCCTTTTGCAAAGCTAGTCACTGGGACAAGGTCAATGTACTATGGCTGAGTGCAATGACCAAGTCCACTTTCCATTATGTGCACCTCTCCGTAATCTGCACCTCTACAACCTCTGCAACTCTTTGTTCACTACCTCACCCAGTCCACTGCACCTCTCCATTCGCTAAACCTCTCCCTTCCCTGCACCTCTCCGTTCCCTGCACCTCTCCGTTCTCTGCCCCTCTCCTCCGTCCTCTGCACCTCTCCGTCCGCTGCACCTCTCCGTTCTTTGCACCTCTCCATTCTCTGCACCTCTCCGTTCTCTGCACCTCTCCGTTCTCTGCACCTCTCCGTCCTCTACACCTCTCGTTTCTCTGCACCTCTCCGTTCTCAGCACCTCTCCGTCCTCTACACCTCCTTGTTCTCTATCCAGTTGGTCCACAAGACCACATTCGCCGGACATTATTCATCTGCCATATCTCCTGCCCGTTTATCCATACTTTATCGACAAGTTCATCCCACTGACAGGCTGCCTAAGAAACCAAGGTGTATACAAGGAGGAGGTAGCGAGGCTTAACAAGAGAGTTGACTGCTGGGTCATCATCAATAACAAGGTGCGCCTCTCATACCGACATCACGTGCCGCAAGTGCCACACATGCCTCACATGCCTCACGTGCCTCACACGCCTCACATGAATACATGCCACCACGATACCTCACCCGATGCCACACATGCCACTCATGCCTCACGTGCCTCACATGCCTCACGTGCCTCAGATTTATCACGTGCCTCACATGCCACACGTGCCTCACGGGAGTCACCTGAGCTCCGCCTCCCATGCCTCGTATGCCTCACATGCATCACATGTCAGCACAATGCCCCACATGCCACTCATGCCTCACGTGCCTCGCATGCCTCACGTGCCTCACATGTCCCGTCGTGCATCATGTTCCTCACATGAGCTCTGCCTCTCATGCCTCGTATACCTCGTATGCCTCACATGCCGGCTCGATGCATCACATGCCTCAAACACCTCACACGCCATTCATGCCCCACGTGCTTCACATGCCTCCTCTTCCTCCTCCTCCACCTCTTCCTCCTACTCCTCCTCCACCTACTCCACTACATCCGCCTGCACCTTCTCATCCTCCTCATCCACCTCCTCCTCCTGGTTTCGAGGTTGGTTCAACGCATTTTCGAGGAAGAAGACAGACCACTTCTTCAGGTCGCGAAGGTACTGACGGCGCCACTTACTCGGTGTACCAACAAGCTTACACGCACCCAGGTTATGGAACTTGTTTTCAACAAGTGTGTGCATCACGCGCATCGTGAACACACCGCAGTCATTCTCATTAGTCTGCGACGGAATCTGTCAACACACATTCGCACATGCACGTGGCTGTCAAAAGGTGGGTCGTTGATTGAGAGCTGGCATTTAAGACAACGGGATCAGAGGTCACCTTGACGACGCGCAGAGGGATGCTCGCAGCCCAAGCATCTGCGTCCGAATCAAGGATCCAAGTTGAGACCCTCATAACCTCGTTTCTTAAGTACCTGAATGACGGAGCACAAATGGAAGATTAGAGATCGGGCTTCTACGATAGAATGCACACCCATGACGTCCTCTGACAGTACCTTCGCAAAGGCGCGTCCACGGATTCGTGGGATCCGTACGAATCCGCATGCCAGAGAACGCAGGTCATGGGTATGTTCTCATCTGGTTTGGGGATTATCTCAATGACGACCAAGCTCCAATGATACCTACAACAAGCGATGAGCGAGTATCTGTCAGAAATAGTCGTTGATCAAAATTATGACTGGAATTCAAGCGATTGACACCCACTCGCTGTTGATCGGGACGAGAATATAGTTGTAGTCGAATATCCCCAGCCCAAAAAGATGGGCGTTACCCCGCTTCGCAATGTCCCTTCCAGCGTAGTTCCAGAAGTAGGATCCACTGTACAGCCACATCTTGTTGTCGCGACTGTGCTCATATTGAAGCATCCTGTGGTTGTTGAAACATAACGCATTATAAGCGTCTTAGACCTACAAAGTAGTCCTACTTTGGCTTCTCACGAAATTAAACTCATAACTCACACTCCCAGCCAGTCGATGACGATTCCGGTCACCCATTCTCCGGGTTTAAGCTTATTAGCGTGTTCCTCACTGACGTCTAGCCACGCTCCGCCAAATGGGAAAGGCATTGAAATCGGGTGAAAGGGAAAATCACAAGCTGCATCTCGTGAAGCCATGGAATGGAATCACCTACGAGCTGGCGGTACTGGAGATTCAGATCGTCATGCAACGGAGTGTGTTCTGGCTGCTGGTGCTATCCCTGGAACTGTGTGAGCTCTCTGGTGTATGGGGGGTTGAAGAGGCATCGCCCAATGATGTGGTTCCGCAACACAGTTTCGACACCCACGTTTCGGTGCTGCCTTTGGGTCCGTCAGATTCCAAATGACGTGGACTGACATGAACGCGGATGGTTGCTAACGCTTGATTGCCTCCCTTCACTAGTGACTGATTCTGATTCTCGCTGGTCTGGAATGCCCAGTCAGCTGTGGTCCAAGAATTGTGCGCTCCAATGTTTCCGGAATTAGCTCGAGAAACACGTAGATCCAGCACGATGAGACTCTTTTCAACGGTCGGATTTTTGAGACGAAATGCAGTTTGGTCGATTAGGGTTCATCACCCTGCCTGGGCTTGAGCAACACATGACGTAATCATACGTGATTGGTTGGAATTTTAGGGTTGTCAGAATCACTTCCGGGTTTGGTGTTTCGCCACCCACCACGTCAACCCTGCACACTCGACATCCAGTATGCTGTAGTGTCCAGATATTTTTAGGTGTCTAGGGAGTTGCGGAACACTATTAACCCCACGGTGACTGTCTTCGCACACCACACGGTTACCTTCGTGATCCGCTAAACATCAAATTTTCATACCGTGGAGCTGCTCATTCGCCTTTGCAATGCGGGGTGGAGTAGGTTCTCACGCTAAGTAACATATTTCTTGTGAACCCTTTTCATTTCCAGAGCC